CTACAGTTTAATGAACGACCACTAGTGGCGCTGTTAACTACAGTTTAATGACTTAGAAATAACGACAGAAAGTTGATGAACACCACATTTGTCTCATTTTTCCTGTTAACAAAGACAGAAATACATTCATAGGAACACCTTATGTAAACTCTCCGTTCCTGTTTGTGAAAACTAAACTACAAAAGTAAAGTGCTGCCACCTACTGGTTCGGATGCTGTTGTGGATGGGTGTGCTGTAGGTTGGTGTAGCCCCGGGCCCCGTGGCCCCACTGACAGTGCGGAGGCTGAAGGTGTAGAGTCGTCCGGGGAACAGCCCCCTCAGGATGCGGCTGCAAGCGGAGCGACTGTGGTATGGGTTGATGACGGACAGCCGGTCTCCAGGAGTCCACTGCAGGTCGAAGTCGTCGTAGTCGGAACCCACGGGGCCGCTCCAGGTGATCTCCACTGAGGTGTTGGTGACCCCCCCGAACAGGAAGGAGGTCGCAGGTCTGGGAGCTGAAGAAGAAAAAGTCAACAGTTCAAACAGACGTCAGGCGGCTCCAGCGCCCCCCGCTGGCACACAGTGGAAACATCATGTGACCTTTTTAAATGATTGTTCTGCATGTTTGTGGATTTATTGTGGAAATCAGTCTAATCTCTGTATCCAGTCATTGTAGATTGATGAGTGAATCCTCCAAACAGAGCGATTTTATCTTACTGTTTACCTTCGATTGTTATAAAATAAAGGTTTAAATTTTTTATATATGCAGTGGTGGATGTGCAGATAACTCACTGCTGAAGAAATGTGACATTTATTGACTTGTTTGTTGTTGATATTGTTAATATTTAACTCAGTAATAGTAATAATAAATTCTAATAATTCATCCACAGAACAGATTTTATCATTATAATGATATTTCCACTGTGGCCAGCAGGGGGCGCTGTATGTTATAATTATTATTACTGCTGTGTCTCACCAGTCCGGCCAAGTGTTGCGGCTCCGTTGCTCAGATCTCCGCTCAGACTCAGAACCTCGGCTCGGTACAGTCGACCCGGCACCAGGCCTGAGAACACAAACTCGGTGACAGCCGACCCCAGCTGCCGCTCGGCCCACAGGGCACTGTCAGGTTTGTAGAGAGTCAGCAGGTACCCACTCAGATCACCGCCGCCCCGACTCCAGGTGACCCTCAGGGTGTCAGACCTGTTTGCACTGTGAGCCATCAGACCCACCACAGCTGCTGGGACTGCAGACAAGACCAGGACTGAGGTTTTTATCAGAGCCTGAACCTGTCAGTCCAAACTATATTAATATATAATATGGGTGCCTGGTTAGCTCAGTCGGTAGAGCTGGCGACCCATGTACGGAGTTGCTGCAGCGGCCCGGGTTCGAATCCGACCTCCTAATCCTCTCTCTCTGCCCTCCTTTCCTGTCTATCTTTGGCTGTCACTATCAAATACAGGCAATAAAAGGCCCAAAAAAAAACAACTTTATAAATATTTAATATAAAAAGAAATACTGCGAAGAAAAAAAAAAGACACTGTGAACTTGACAGTAAGTTAATGGATCGGAAACGAACGTACAGAGAGCTTCTGCCCGTTCAAACACCAGATATGTTTGATCCACTACAATTAGACACAGAACCACATCAATACAGTCACACATTTGTTTTCTTCGCCACCATCTTGACTTTAAAGGAACTGTTGGAGAAAACATTGTCAACAAATTCAGATTTTTGTTTTAAAAAGTAAAAAAAATTAAAGTATAATTAATATAATTTATATTAATAATAATATTATGACTTTATTATTGAATATTATATATATATATCATATAACCAATACTTTTCTCATCAAATCACAAACTTTTTTGGAACATTACATTTACAATATGAATTTATTATTAATATTATTATTTTTTGTTGACATGTAACGATTTCGCTTCATTAAAAAACGTTTTTGTCAAAAACTACTTTAAATGTTTTTTCAAAAAAGCAACTTTTGTCCTTGATGAGTTCTTGAAAAATTGAAAAGTTGTTAAAATTAGGACCTTTTTCACCTTTTGTTTTCTGGAAATATTTTAACTTTATTCTCAGAAGAAAAATTATTCCTGTTTTCTCAAAACACTACAACTATTTTTTTGCCAACATTTTTTTTATCTTTTTCTCTAAATAAAAATCGTTTTTCTCTTTGCTAACAGTGGCCTCGTTACTTCTACCTTCATTCGTCTCTATATAATGACATCACTATGACATGATGCAGGTTACTTCCTCCACAGACACACCAGGTGTTACAACCCTCACCTGTCCTGGCCCAGATGGAGGACTGGTTGCTCTGCTCCCCGCTGTGGGTCACCACCACCATCCTGTATGGAGCCCCAGGTCTGAGACCCTGGAAGGAGCACTGCTGACTGCTGGACTGGCCTCGCCGTCTCTCCTGCAGCGAGTCGTCACTTTTATAAAAGAAGATCTCGTAAAGCTCAAAGTCTCCGTCCGGTGGAGACCAGTGGAAGGACAAACTGGTGGTGGTGTTGGCTTTGACTGACAGATTGGTGACTGCGGCGGGACCTGACAGGAAGAGAACAGAGGGGGCAGAGACTCTTTTAATTTAACTCCAGACTGCAAAAACTCACATTAAACTGTAAATTACGACAACCATCTGAGTTATAAACAGGAAGTCTTACTTGTCCGAGCCTCAGTGCTGATGGCCAGGCTGTGGACCCCCCCACTGGTAGTCTCGACCAGGACCCTGTACTTCTTTCCCGGGGTGAGGCCGTCGAACCGGTACCTGGTGCGTCCGGAGGGCTGAGAGGAGTTTGTCACCAGGCTGCCTCTGTCATCCAGAAGCTGCAAAACGTATCCATCAGACACACCCAGAGCGCCCTGCCAGCTCACCTGTAAGCTGCAGGTGGAGTGGAGGTCTTCCACCTGGAGACCCGTCACTACAGAGGGCACTGAACACAGGAACACGAGATCATGTAACATACATGTACAACAGCAGTAGAAGTACACAAGGATTTATACATTCAGTAAAATATCAGTGCAGTGACAATGTTCTCCAGTTAAATTTAATAAATGTTCTAGTAGATAGTATATATAGGGTAGTAAAGTCTGACCTGTTTATAAATTTAATATATAACAGTAGTATAGTCTGACCTGTTTATATAATATAATATAATATATAACAGTAGTATAG